TACAAGCACCGTCGCGGGCCTCTTTTGCAAAGGGGGCCTGGGTCGTAAAAGCTAAACAGGAACAAGTAATGCGAGAAAAGGTCACAGCGGCAGCTGCAAACACAATAACATTGTCGGGGACAAACACCGCTCAGATGATTTGTCATAGACGGCGTTTCACAAGAGCGAGATGTAAACGCGACGTTCGTCGAGGAGTTATTGCGCAGATAAGTGGAGTAGGAAACGTTCAAGATCGTTTGTTTGATGATCCTTGTCTTGAGGCATGGGGTGGGGGTGGTTTACCGGTATTTGTTTAAAGAAGCCTCACTCTGCTGATGAGACGCTAAATGTCAAATCCGGTCCTGAGTGTTTGTGTTTTACACCCAGGCCCCTGAATAGATCCACCGTGTTAAACTGATAGCTATATTGTGTTCATATGGAGGGACACATATGGGAAGAGGGGCCTTACATCTGTTTATACACGTTGTGATATTCAGTTTAGAGCTGGGCTGTCGGGTTATCTAAGTAATCGATGACTCAACTGGTTGTCGGTTCGACGGCTCGTCGAATAACAAAGGCCGAACGTTCAAAGAGGGAAGTCGGGCAGCAGCAGCAACAGGAATGTAACCGACCAGCGCGGTTGGACGTCAATGCCGCAGCGCATCAAAACAACACTCCAGTGGAGCGGATCGCGACAGAACTCGCACGTGGGACATAAACGATCATCAAACGCCACTTCCATCGACCCCACGCGTCCCTCAAGAAACGAGAATCACTGACGTCACAACAGCAGCAGCACGGTGGCCACGTGACGCGCAAGGCACGTGGTTGGCGCCGTGCCCTCCCTGCTGCGCGCAGAGCAGCGCCTGCTGCTTGTCCCGTGCGGGGTGAGAGGGATAGGAATAACCACGTGCCAAGTGAGGTTTATAGATGAACCTATCAATCACATTCTGCAGGACAGAGACGACTTCATACCGGGTTGAGGCGTGTCTGGATTCATCAGTCAGTACGGCATAGCCATCATTGCCTATCTCCATATTCATAAGGGACATACGAAGGCAGTAACACCTCCCTCCAATCAATGTCATGTCACTCCACGTAATAAACGACGCCTTCATATTTTACGCGCAGGGACAGACATTGGAAGGACGCCTGCTCATTTGCTCTGTGACTTAGAGCGAGTGCTCGAGTGGCTGCGAGGTTGCCAGGCTACTCGATACGTGTATCGCACGAGCCGTGCCGATGTTCCTCCAGGTAAGGGAAGCAATCTCCAAATCTAGCGTTCATCCTCACGGGCTGCATGAACAAACCACAAGAGGAAAACACAAATCGCAGGAGGAGTCGGGCAGGGAGACACCCTCTCACCGAGCCTATTCGAAGCAACTTCGGAAGACGAAATGAAATAACCAGCTCAGACGTGCCGATGACATCGTCGTTTTAACGGCCAATGGGACTGGACTGCGACACGCCATTGAATCATTTACCAACAGAGGCTGCCAAGTTTGGCTCAAGATAAGGACGAGCAAAACGATGACCACGTGCTGAGAATTCTTCACCGCGGCTCTGTGGGTGGTGTCACGTACAACGAAGACATTTAGTCCGTGGGGCAGTGCAAAATTCGGTACCACCGAAGGTAGAAAAGCTTTAGCAGCACCGATTTAATCCGGTGGTCAAGACGAGTGAGTTACTAGATAACCCCCCACTCATTTCAAACGCCTATCGCGTCAGTCCCTGTCGTTGGCCACAAGAAGAGATACACACACAAGGGGTGCCACCTCCAGCGGGGCCGACGAGTGAGATATCAACTCTGGGCTCGTGCAAGAGTTCTTGCAGATACGCAACTGGAGAACACATCAGAGTATGTGTACCGAACATTGCATTACATTCATGAACATAGAATAGACAAAGACCCCCCGTGTAATCTGAACGGACTGTTAAGGCAAACGTTGGTGAGGAACCAACGGGCTGGGTAGCCAGCACCGCGCCCGACTGCCTTTGTCTTCCTAGTGGCGATGTGTACACAGCGCTCCAGGTACTCGCTTGAGACCACCGAGGCGACCCAGGGGAGGCCCAAGACCGGTTGAGATATTCTCATCTGATGTTGACCGTTGAGCGGGAATCGAACCCGGGTCGTCGGGGCTTTGTTTTGTTTATAGCGAAGGTTCATTGGCATAGAGCATCAACATCTACGAGTTTGAGTGACCTCCCGAGTATGGGCCGTGGGATGGACACGCCGGACCGCTCTCCATCTCGGTCGGAGCGCGCGAGACACACCTTGGGAGGCCGCTCAGCGCGCGCGCGCCCCCCACTGTCGATGGCGACGTCACCGCGAAGGGTGGGTGCGTTGGGGGGCCCGGGGCGGGGAGGGGGGCAGGGGGGGCGATCGCACCCTGGGCGATCGAGGGGACGTGACCCCTGGACCCCGCTCGCCCCCTTCGGCTGTTGACGGAGGGGGCGACGTGCGCTGGGCACCCCGCGCAGCCGGTTTTCTCCCTTTGCCGCCCACCCTCCACATCGCTCACAGCAGATTGACGCCCGTCAGTGATGATGGATGGCGGCGCCTCTCTCCTGTCCTCCCTCTTCTCTTGCCCTCTCCCCTGTCTCTCTACACTCTCTCGCTCTCTCTCTCTCTGAAGTGCAATAAATGCAGCAATAACAGAGGTACGCAAACAACCATGAAGCTCACAAACGAATGAAGTGCACACGCGGTGCAGCTGCGCCAGGGCCCGTGTGGAAGCGTGGCTGGCAGCGAAGATGACCCCGAGTTGTACGACACTTCATAAGTCCCCTTGGCCACTGCACAGGTACCCCCTTCGCTACTCCACGTAGGTCCCCTTGGCTCCTTCGCCCCCAATTTCAACATCGTTCCCACGAACTGGGGGGGCGGTGTCTGCTCTGCTCGGTGAGATCTCACGCTGCCGGCAACAGGTGCGAGAGGCTGCTGCAGGCCTGCATGATGGGAAGCAGATGGCAGCGCAGCCAAACCCACTGTTGGACTGCACTGCTATGCTCCAGAGTGTCCAGCGGTCTGCGAACCAGGCTGCCGCGCTGCCCGTGGTCACGAGGACGCGGTATCGTCAGAGTGCCTGGGGGGCGGTTCCCTTCGAGGCTTCAATTAACCACATGCCACGAATTAATGAACCACAATTCAGAGCTTAGCAAAGCGTTAATTGCTCCTTGCAGTCGCGAGGGTGACGGAGGAGCTTTGTTTTTGTAGCCACCCAGTGAACCGAACTGCCAAGGGGAAATACGCGGCACTTTGAACAACTTCGTGTACACCTGTGTACTATTTTGTATAACAGGAAATTTCCGTTGGGCAACGCCCATCTGGCCAGAGCCAGTGGCGGAAATTGCAGATTGAAATATGTCTCTCCCAAGAGGGCTGTGAGTGTGTATAGGTGCGTGTGTATGTTGTGTGTATAGGTGTGTGTATAGGTGTGTGTGTATAGGTGTGTGTGTGTAGTGATGTGTGTGGGGAGCGGTAGTGTAGCGGTTAGGGCACTTAGCTACGAACCTGGCGACCCGAGTTCGATTCCCACTCACGGCAAACACCGGTGATAATTATCTGAACCAGTCCTGGGCCTCCCTCGATCGACTCAGCCCCAAATTCGTAACTGGTGCGATGTATGAACATATATAATGTATGTTGAGTTTTTTCGCACCGTACGTAAACCAATCGTGATAATCGGAGGTGGGGGTGAAGGACAACTAACTAAACACACAAATCAGCTCCAAAGAAACGAGTTTTTAATCGAGATTTAAAGTTCGTAGCTACCAGTAATATTGTAAGGAAGAGCCATTTGGGGAGACAAAGGCGGCCGGGCGTGTTGCTGGCTACCCACCCTTTCGTGTGCCGTCCCAGCATTCAGGGGTGCTCGCTAACAGCACGGTCAGCTGAAGGATATTCGTGTTGGCACACCTGTGCACACCTGTGCACACCTGTGCACACCTGTGCACACCTGTGCCGTGAGCTGCCAGCAACGAGCCTTCTACAATTCACGTGGCCACAAGGTACACCTAGCCTGGCGCAAGCGTAGTGGCAAATGGCGGTGGTTGTTGAACGTGTGTGTGTGAGTGGTGGTGGTGTCGTGGATTGCCCACTGCTCTACGAATATCTGAACCGGTCCAGTGCCCTCGGTTGATTCGGTGTGCTCACGTAGTGTTCGCCCCGTTGTGCACCATGCCTTCCTACGCGTATATAACACGTGCGTGCGTTTATATAGGCTCGTGGTGGAGCGTACGTGTGAACGCGTACATGCGTCTCGACCCACGACCGTCACTGTACGCGCATACCCGTGCACACCTGTGTTAACTTTAAACACACCTGTGTACACCTGTGTTAACTTTAAACACGCCTGTGCACACCTGTGCTAACTTTATGCACACCTGTGATAACTTTAAACACACCCGTGCACACCTGTGTTAACTTTAAGCACACCTGTGCTAACTTTAAACACACCTGTGCTAACTTTAAACACACATGTGCACACCTGTGCCAACTTTAAACACACCAGTGCACACCTGTGCTAACTTTAAACACACCTGTGTACACCTGTGCCAACTTTAAACACACCAGTGCACACCTGTGCTAACTTTAAACACACCTGTGCACACCTGTGCTAACTTTAAACACCCCCGTGCACACCTGTGCTAACTTTAAACACACCTGTGCACACCTGTGCACATCTGTGCTAACTTTAAACACACCCGTGCACACCTGTGCTAACTTTAAACACACATGTGCACACCTGTGCTAATTTTAAACACACCTGTGCACACCTGTGCACACCTGTGCTAACTTTAAACACACCTGTGCACACCTGTGCTAACTTTAAACACACCTGTGCACACCTGTGCTAACTTTAAACACACCCGTGCACACCTGTGCTAACTGTAAACACACCTGTGCACACCTGTGCTAACTTTAAACACACCCGTGCACACCTGTGCTAACTTTAAACACTCCCGTGCACACCTGTGCTAACTTTAAACACACCCGTGCACACCTGTGCTCAACTCACCTGTGCGTCGCGTCCCAGTGGCTGAGGGAGCTGCTCTCGCCATCGTTCTTGCGCCTGTAGGCCATGAGAACGACGTCTTCCTGCTTGTGCTTCCTGCGATATTCCATGCTGCTTGCGGGCGGCGGAGTCCACGGGTGAGTCCACGGGTGAGTCCACGGGTGAGTCCACGGGTGAGTCCACGGGTGAGTCCACGGGTGAGTCCACGGGTGAGTCCACGGGTGAGTCCACGGGTGAGTCCACGGGTGAGGGCAGCCCGGCGCCGACTCGCATCTATGAGTGCTGCACCAGACCCCGGGACCGCCGAGGTAGACTCCTGAGCGGCTCTTGGGTCTCGAGTCGTCTTTGAGGGATGAGCTCCGTCAGATTCATCCACTCGACTCCATCACAGCAGCTACGGCCTAGAACAAAGACAAATACCCCCGTATAGTCTTTAGCAGACTGTTGGGGCAAGTGCGGTTCGCGAACACCTATGAAGGTCGGAACAGCTCAGGAGGTGGTGGATGGCCAACACCATGCCCGACCGCCTTTGTCTCCCCTATGCTGATGTTTACACAACGAACCAGGTACCCATTTACAGCTGAATCCACCTAGGGAATGCCCAGGACCGGTTTAGCGATGCCTCGCCGATGTTGGCCGTAAGCGGTAATCGAACTCGGGATGCTGGGTTCGTAGCGCAGTGTGCTAACCGTTGTGCCACTGTTCCCCACAAACTTGTTAGAGAACACACAAACTCCCCAACAACACAATCTCACACCCCTACAACACACGCACACATTGTGCAACACACATCTACAGCGGCCTATACCCCAAGTGTGTGTTGTGTTTGTGTTGTACGGTTGTGTGTGTTGTTGGAGTGTGTTGTGGAAGTGTATTGTCAGAGTATGTGTGTCGTAGGTGTGTGTGTGTGAGCGTGTTGAGGGGGTGTGAAGGTGTTCTAAGTGTGTTGTACGGTTGTGTGTTGTAGGGGTGTGTGTGTTGTAGGGGTGTGTGTGTGTTGTAGGGGTGTGGATGTGTGTTGTAGGGGTGTGAGTGAGTGTTGTAGGGGTGCGAGTGTGTTGTATGGGAGTGAGTGTGTGTTGTAGTGGTGTAAGTGTGTGTTGTAGGTGTGTGAGTGTGTGTTGTAGGGGAGTGAGTGTGTTGTAAGGGTGTGAGTGTGTGTTGTAGGGGTGTGTGTGAGTGTTGTAGGGGTGTGAGTGTGTGTTGTAGGGGTGTGAGAGTGTGCTGTAGGGGTGTGAGTGTGTGTTGTAGGGGTGTGTGTTGTAGGGGTGTGAGAGTGTGTTGTAGGGGTGTGAGTGTGTGTTGTAGGGGTGTGTTAGTGTGAGTTGTAGGGGGTGAGTGTGAGTGTGTGTGTTGTAGGTGTGTGAGTGTGTGTTGTAGGTGTGTGAGAGTGTGTTGTAGGGGTGTGAATGTGTGTGTGTGTTGTAGGGGTGTGAGTGTGTGTTGTAGGGGTGTGTGTTGTAGGGGTGTGAGAGTGTGTTGTAGGGGTGTGAGTGTGTGTTGTAGGGGTGTGTGTTGTAGGTGTGAGTTGTAGGGGTGTGAGTGTGTGTTGTGCGGGGTGTGTGAGTGTGAGTTGTAGGGGGGTGAGTGTGAGTGTGTGTGTTGTAGGTGTGTGAGTGTGTGTTGTAGGTGTGTGAGAGTGTGTTGTAGGGGTGTGAATGTGTGTGTGTGTTGTAGGTGTGTGAGTGTGTGTTGTAGGTGTGTGAGTGTGTGTTGTAGGGGTGTGAGTGTGTGTTGTAGGGGTGTGTGTTGTAGGTGTGAGTTGTAGGTGTGTGAGTGTGAGTTGTAGGGGTGTGTGAGTGTGAGTTGTAGGGGGGTGAGTGTGAGTGTGTGTGTTGTAGGTGTGTGAGTGTGTGTTGTAAGTGTGTGAGAGTGTGTTTTAGGGGTGTGAATGTGTGGGTGTGTGTTGTAGGGGTGTGAGTGTGTGTTGTAGGGGTGTGTGTTGTAGGGGTGTGAGAGTGTGTTGTAGGGGTGTGAGTGTGTGTTGTAGGGGTGTGTGTTGTAGGTGTGAGTTGTAGGTGTGTGAGTGTGAGTTGTAGAGGTGTGAGTGTGAGTTGTAGGGGGGTGAGTGTGTGTGTTGTAGGTGTGTGAGTGTGTTGTAGGTGTGTGAGTGTGTGTTGTAGGTGTGTGAGTGTGTGTTGTAGGTGTGTGAGTGTGTGAGTGTGTGTTGTAGGTGTGTGAGTGTGTGTTGTAGGTGTGTGAGTGTGTTGTAGGTGTGTGAGTGTGTGTTGTAGGTGTGTGAGTGTGTGAGTGTGTGAGTGTGTGTTGTAGGTGTGTGAGTGTGTGTTGTAGGTGTGTGAGTGTGAGTGTGTGTGTTGTAGGTGTGTGAGTGTGTGTTGTAGGTGTGTGAGTGTGTGAGTGTGTGTTGTAGGTGTGTGAGTGTGAGTGTGTGTGTTGTAGGTGTGTGAGTGTGTGTTGTAGGTGTGTGAGTGTGTGAGTGTGTTGTAGGTGTGTGAGTGTGTGTGTGTGTGTTGTAGGTGTGTGAGAGTGTGTTGTAGGTGTGTGAGTGTGTGAGTGTGTGTGTTGTAGGTGTGTGAGTGTGTGTTGTAGGTGTGTGAGTGTGTGAGTGTGTATTGTAGGTGTGTGAGTGTGTATTGTAGGTGTGTGAGTGTGTGAGTGTGTGTTGTAGGTGTGTGAGTGTGTGAGTGTGTGTTGTAGGTGTGTGAGTGTGTGTTGTAGGTGTGTGAGTGTGTGAGTGTGTTGTAGGTGTGTGAGTGTGTGAGTGTGTGTTGTAGGTGTGTGAGTGTGTGTTGTAGGTGTGTGAGTGTGTGAGTGTGTTGTAGGTGTGTGAGTGTGTGTTGTAGGTGTGTGAGTGTGTGAGTGTGTTGTAGGTGTGTGAGTGTGTGAGTGTGTTGTAGGTGTGTGAGTGTGTGTTGTAGGTGTGTGAGTGTGTGAGTGTGTGTTGTAGGTGTGTGAGTGTGTGTTGTAGGTGTGTGAGTGTGTGAGTGTGTGTTGTAGGTGTGTGAGTGTGTGAGTGTGTGTTGTAGGTGTGTGAGTGTGTGAGTGTGTGTTGTAGGTGTGTGAGTGTGTGTGAGTGTGTGTTGTAGGTGTGTGAGTGTGTGAGTGTGTGTTGTAGGTGTGAGTGTGTGTTGTAGGTGTGTGAGTGTGAGTGTGTTGTAGGTGTGTGAGTGTGGTGTTGTAGGTGTGTGAGTGTGTGAGTGTGTTGTAGGGTGTGAGTGTGTGAGTGTGTTGTAGGTGTGTGAGTGTGTGTTGTAGGTGTGTGAGTGTGTGAGTGTGTTGTAGGTGTGTGAGTGTGTGTGTGTGTGTTGTAGGTGTGTGAGAGGTGTTGTAGGTGTGTGAGTGTGTGAGTGTGTGTGTTGTAGGTGTGTGTGTGTGTAGGTGTGTGAGTGTGTGAGTGTGTGTGTGGGTGGAGTGTGTGTGTAGGTGTGTGAGTGTGTGAGTGTGTGTTGTAGGTGTGTGAGTGTGTGAGTGTGTGTTGTAGGTGGTGAGTGTGTGATGTGTGTGTTGTAGTGGTGTGAGTGTGTGAGGGTGTGTTGTAGGTGTGTGAGTGTGTGAGTGTGTGTTGTAGGTGTGTGAGTGTGTGTGTAGGTGTGTGAGTGTGTGATTGTGTGTTGTAGGTGTGTGAGTGTGTGTTGTAGGTGTGTGAGTGTGTGAGTGTGTGTGTTGTAGGTGTGTGAGTGGTGTGTTGTAGTGTGTGAGTGTGTTGTAGGTGTGTGAGTGTGTGAGTGTGGTGTTGTAGGGTGTGTGAGTGTGTGTTGTAGGTGTGTGAGTGTGTGTTGTAGGTGTGTGAGTGGTGAGTGTGTGTTGTAGGTGTGTGAGTGTGGTTTGTAGGTTGTGTGAGTGTGTGAGTGTGTGTGTTGTAGGTGTGTGAGTGTGTGTTGTAGGTGGTGTGAGTGTGTGTTGTAGGTGTGTGATTGGTTGTGTAGGTGTGTGAGTGTGTGTTGTAGGTGTGGTGGTGTGTGAGTGTTGTATTGTAGGTGTGTGAGTGTGTGTTGTAGGTGTGTGAGTGTGTGAGTGTGTGTTGTAGGTGTGTGAGTGTGTGAGTGTGTGAGTGTGTGTGTTGTAGGTGTGTGAGTGTGTGTTGTAGGTGTGTGAGTGTGTGTTGTAGGTGTGTGAGTGTGTTGTAGGTGTGTGAGTGTGTGTTGTAGGTGTGTGAGTGTGTGAGTGTGTGTTGTAGGTGTGTGAGTGTGAGTGTGTGTTGTAGGTGTGTGAGAGTGTGTTGTAGGTGTGTGAGTGTGAGTGTGTGTTGTAGGTGTGTGAGAGTGTGTTGTAGGTGTGTGAGTGTGTGAGTGTGTTGTAGGTGTGTGAGTGTGTGAGTGTGTGTTGTAGGTGTGTGAGTGTGAGTGTGTGTTGTAGGTGTGTGAGAGTGTGTTGTAGGTGTGTGAGTGTGAGTGTGTGTTGTAGGTGTGTGAGAGTGTGTTGTAGGTGTGTGAGTGTGTGAGTGTGTGAGTGTGTGTGTTGTAGGTGTGTGAGTGTGTGTTGTAGGTGTGTGAGTGTGTGTTGTAGGTGTGTGAGTGTGTTGTAGGTGTGTGAGTGTGTGTTGTAGGTGTGTGAGTGTGTGAGTGTGTGTTGTAGGTGTGTGAGTGTGAGTGTGTGTTGTAGGTGTGTGAGAGTGTGTTGTAGGTGTGTGAGTGTGAGTGTGTGTTGTAGGTGTGTGAGAGTGTGTTGTAGGTGTGTGAGTGTGTGAGTGTGTTGTAGGTGTGTGAGTGTGTGAGTGTGTGTTGTAGGTGTGTGAGTGTGAGTGTGTGTTGTAGGTGTGTGAGAGTGTGTTGTAGGTGTGTGAGTGTGAGTGTGTGTTGTAGGTGTGTGAGAGTGTGTTGTAGGTGTGTGAGTGTGTTGTAGGTGTGTGAGTGTGAGTGTGTGTTGTAGGTGTGTGAGAGTGTGTTGTAGGTGTGTGAGTGTGAGTGTGTGTTGTAGGTGTGTGAGAGTGTGTTGTAGGTGTGTGAGTGTGTGAGTGTGTTGTAGGTGTGTGAGTGTGTGAGTGTGTGTTGTAGGTGTGTGAGTGTGAGTGTGTGTTGTAGGTGTGTGAGAGTGTGTTGTAGGTGTGTGAGTGTGAGTGTGTGTTGTAGGTGTGTGAGAGTGTGTTGTAGGTGTGTGAGTGTGTGAGTGTGTTGTAGGTGTGTGAGTGTGTGAGTGTGTGTTGTAGGTGTGTGAGTGTGAGTGTGTGTTGTAGGTGTGTGAGAGTGTGTTGTAGGTGTGTGAGTGTGTGTTGTAGGTGTGTGAGAGTGTGTTGTAGGTGTGTGAGTGTGAGTGTGTGTTGTAGGTGTGTGAGTGTGTGTTGTAGGTGTGTGAGTGTGAGTGTGTGTTGTAGGTGTGTGAGAGTGTGTTGTAGGTGTGTGAGAGTGTGTTGTAGGTGTGTGAGTGTGTGTTGTAGGTGTGTGAGAGTGTGTTGTAGGTGTGTGAGTGTGTGTTGTAGGTGTGTGAGAGTGTGTTGTAGGTGTGTGAGTGTGTGTTGTAGGTGTGTGAGAGTGTGTTGTAGGTGTGTGAGTGTGTGAGTGTGTGTTGTAGGTGTGTGAGTGTGTGTTGTAGGTGTGTGAGTGTGTGAGTGTGAGTGTGGTCCGTGGCCACGCGTTGTGGGCCCGAGGTAGCAGCGCTACCTGCTACCTGCACGCTGCTACCTGCACGCTGCTGCCTGCTACCTGCACGCTGCTACCTGCTACCTGCACGCTGCTACCTGCTACCTGCACGCTGCTACCTGCTACCTGCACGCTGCTGCCTGCTACCTGCACGCTGCTACCTGCTACCTGCACGCTGCTACCTGCTACCTGCACGCTGCTACCTGCTACCTGCACGCTGCTGCCTGCTACCTGCACGCTGCTGCCTGCTACCTGCACGCTGCTACCTGCTACCTGCACGCTGCTGCCTGCTACCTGCACGCTGCTGCCTGCTACCTGCACGCTGCTACCTGCTACCTGCACGCTGCTACCTGCTACCTGCACGCTGCTACCTGCTACCTGCACGCTGCTGCCTGCTACCTGCACGCTGCTACCTGCTACCTGCACGCTGCTTCACGTCCCAGGTGTTGCGTCCTGTTCTTCGGCACTTCGCTTCACTCGCTCATCTGAACTCGCATGTGCGCGACCCCCGCTCTACTTTGCCAGCAATAATCGTTATACTGCTGCTACTGTTGCTGAACTGAGCGACCCTCGACTGACAACGCGTTATCAGTGTCCCTCGGAGCGGATCTAGAAGCGGTCGGAGCTCGCCAGCCACTGTTCATAGCCCGTCAGATCAGACGGACGGGGGACCGAGGTAGGAGGAGGAGCTGATGGAGGTAGCAGAGGAGGCGGGACCAGGCGTGGGTTCAGTAGCGAGCGTGGAGGAGGGAGGGAGTGAGTGGGTGAGTGAGTGGGTGAGTGAGGGAGTGAGTGAGTGAGTGCGTGAGGGAGTGAGTGGGTGGGTGGGTGAGTGAGTGAGTGAGTGGGTGGGTGAGTGAGTGAGTGAGTGGGTGGGTGGGTGAGTGAGTGAGTGAGTGGGTGGGTGAGTGAGTGAGTGGGTGGGTGGGTGAGTGAGTGAGTGGGTGGGTGGGTGGGTGAGTGGGTGGGTGGGTGAGTGGGTGGGTGGGTGAGTGGGTGGGTGGGTGGGTGAGTGAGTGGGTGGGTGGGTGAGTGAGTGGGTGGGTGGGTGAGTGAGTTGGTGGGTGGGTGAGTGGTGGGTGAGTGAGTGGGTGAGTGAGTGAGTGAGTGGGTGAGTGAGTGAGTGCGTGAGGGAGGGAGTGAGTGAGTGGGGGAGTGAGTGAGTGGGTGAGTGGGGGAGTGAGTGAGTGGGTGAGTGAGGGAGTGAGTGAGTGAGTGGGTGAGTGAGTGAGTGAGAGAGCTGCGCAGGTAGCCCGTCCAGGTGAACGCCCTGCACCTCTCCACCGGGACGCAGGGCGAGCGAGGCAATTGTGTCAATGCTCGCGAGCCCTCCGATTATTGTGGGACTGCAATTCTCCACTTGATCAAAGCTAGGAGGGATATGCAATCGTTTCGGCGAGGATGGCGCTTTCCGCGGATTTCTACCCCAAGTCTTCACCTCCCTGTGGCTGGGCCGTGCTGTGGGGGGTGCGGCGAGGTGGAAATGGGGGGATGGGGGAGGGGGCTCGTGCTGGGTGCTTTTAATAGCCGTGAAGAAACTCGCCTGCTTGGAATTCCTCTGTACGCGCGTCACGGCGCTGGGGGGTGAGGGGAGGGGTGGGGGGAGGGGTGAGGGGAGGGGTGGGCGGAGGGGTGGGCGGAGGGGGGAGGGGTGGTATGGGGGCAGGTGGACCTCGGCCTCAGGTGCGTCTAGGATTCTCAGGGTTCAACAGCGATGCGCCTGCAACTCGCGGAGCCGAAACGAGGCAGCCGAGTGCCGCGGGGGGCGCCGAGAAGAAGTCGCTCGTCCAATGCGAGAGGCGACGGCGGCGGCACTCGCGCAGGTAAAGGTGCGGCCCTGAAAGTGCCTCGCACATGCCACCCCCACCGCTAGCGGAAGAGCCCATTGATAATACTATGACGAGGTGGTTCGTTGCGGTTGATGACAACACGCCGGTCGATGGTACATTGGTATTCGCTCGTAAACTATTCACGGTATGCAGTATTTAAGCATCATGATACGTTAGTGATTGATAGATATTTAGTTACGTTTTAGTAATTCATTCATTGGCAAATAGTGGTGGATGTTCCGCTGTTGTTGGTGATTTGTAGATAAAGTCATCGATAACCATGCCAGTGGCACGTTGACGATGATGACATCGCCGATGCTGTCTGATTGTTGTTTGTTGACTGGTGATGGTGAGGCGAGCAAAGTGATCGTTGAGCAACTTCACGAGCCTCTAGGACCTCAGACCTCTCTCAGACCCCTCGGCTTGCACCTGGGCCTCGTGCGCACCAGCACCAGGCCAGGCGCGTGGTGGTGGTACAGGCAGCAGTGTGTGGTGGTGGTACAGGCGGCAGTGGGTGTGTGGTGGTGGTGATGGTGGTTGTACAGGCGGCAGTGGTTGTGTGGTGGTGGTACAGGCGGCAGTGGATGTGTGGTGGTGGTACAGGCAGCAGTGGGTGTGTGGTGGTGGTGGTGCAGGCGGCAGTGGGTGTGTGGTGGTGGTACAGGCGGTAGTGTGTGGTGGTGGTGGTGGTACAGGCGGTAGTGTGTGGTGGTGGTGGTGGTGGTACAGGCGGTAATGTGTGATGGTGGTGGTACAGGCGGTAGTGGGTGTGTGTTGGTGGTGGTACAGGCAGCAGTGTGTGGTGGTGGTGGTGGTGGTACAGGCGGCAGTGGGTGTGTGGTGTGGACAAGATTTGCCAGTACAGCAAGTGGGTTCCTAACCGGTATGTGCTGATTTTTGGGGTTTTGTTTCCCGCTCATACGTGGCGGGCTTTCTTCAGTCACTCTGCCCAACACTGATCTTTAGCAGATTTGTTCAGACATCGAGGGGGTTTTTTGTAGATTGTTTTTATCACAGTTGCTGAGCACATGCCCAAAGAGCCAAACACGCCAGGCGGCCACCAACAATCAGCACAATCAACGTTGTAATAGAGAAGCGTAAACACGTTAACTTCGACTCGAGTGTGTTGTTGTAATGTGTCGTGTGGTGAGTGGGTGAGTGAGTGTGTTGTAATGTGTCGTGTGGTGAGTGAGTGGGTGAGTGTGTTATTGTAATGTGTCGTGTGGTGAGTGAGAAAGTGTGTTGTTGTAATGTGTAGTGTGGTGAGTGAGTGGGTGAGTGTGTTGTTGTTGTAATGTGGTGAGTGAGTGGGTGAGTCGGTGAGTTGTAATGTGGTGAGTGAGTGGGTGACTGTGTTGTTGTTGTAATGTGAAGTGTGGTGAGTGAGTCGGTGAGTTGTAATGTGTAGTGTGGTGAGTGAGTGGGTGAGTGTGTTGTAATGTCTAGTGTGGTGAGTGAGTGGGTGAGTGTGTTGTAATGTGTAGTGTGGTGAGTGAGTCGGTGTGTTGTAATGTGTAGTGTGGTGAGTGAGTGGGTGAGTGTGTTGTTGTAATGTATCGTTTGGTGAGTGGGTGGGGTAACTGACGGTGTTGTGATTTGTAGTGTGGTGAGTGGATGGGTGAGTGTGTTATTTTAATCTGTAGTGTGATGAGTGGGTGGGTGAGTGGGTGAGTGTGTGGTTGTAATGTGTAGTGTGGTGAGTGAGTGGGTGAGTGTGTTGTCATGTGGAGTGCGGTGAGTGAGTGGGTGAGTCGGTATGTTGTAATGTGTCGTGTGGTGAGTGAGTGGGTGTGTTGTTGTAATCTGTAGTGTGGTGAGTGAGTAGGTGAGTGGGTGGGTGAGTGGGTGAGTGTGTTGTTGTAATCTGTAGTGTGGTGAGTGGTTAGGTGAGTTGGTGGGTAAGTAGGTGAGTGTTGTTGTAATCTATAGTGTGGTGAGTGAGTGGGTGGGTGAGCGTGTTGTTACCTGCAATGTAGTGGCTGCGCAGTGTGGATGAGACTAAACAATCAGTCTGAGCGTGGTATACACGTATGTATGTTGAACTTCTTTCGCACCGTACGTAGCTAACCGTGAAAATCGGAATTGCGAAGGACAACAAACCAAACACAAAATGCAACACCGGTGGAGGAAAATGTTGCAGAACCCTCCTGAAAATGAGTCTTGAGACTCCGTGAAGCTATTCCGGACAAATCAACTGCATAATTGTTATCGTCCGGTAACAAACCCTGTCCTTGTGTCCCCGCGCAGACAGGAACGCGACTGAATGGACCTCCTTTCTTGTTGAGCATCCATTGTGGGTGGTGTGTCTGTCCCCCCGCTCGTCCGTTTTGGTTCCCCAATGCTGATATTTACACCACCCCTCAAGTACCTCGTCATCTCTGAGTCGACCTAAGGGAAGCCCAAGATAGGTTCAGGCACCATGTGCCAAGTGTGTTACGTGGTCGGAAATCTAACTCAAGTAACCAAACTATCTTTACACAAACTCCCACAATACATCAGACACGACCTATCCACTGCTCGTGCAGGCATCCAAGCTCACAAGTCCAAATACATAAATAGTTTGCAACTATAAACACTACGGAAAAATATAGGATAGCTACTCTGAGACTACGTTAAGTGACAGCAAATATTACAAGGATCGTCAACAATTTTGCTCAACTAATATTTTTCAACATTTGGATCAGAGAAATAAAAGTAATATTTAATTGGAGCAAAATTTGACAGTTTCGGATTTTCAAATTACATTCGTTACAACAAAACATGAATGCAAAAATCACCGTATGTGCACTACATGGGGTGGCCAAAAAGTCAACACGTATCGGGCTCTTATATTTAACTTAACAAATGACATGTTCTCTTTTTTAATTTTAACAAATGTTCAAATTGACTTTCATTAATATTCATGGACGCATGGATTCGTTTTTATAATTAATGTAGAACTTATTATAAGATCGCAGGTGTAATGTTTGAATATCCACCAATTTTGTTTCGTTTCAATTCACTCCGGGTTCTTGGTCGAGTTGTGTAAACGACAGACTGGAGGTGACCCCATAGGAGAAGAAAAAATCAATATTCATCATGATAATAAATTAAACATTAGCTTCCATTATAAATAATTACATTTTCTAATGCCAGTGTTAAAATAAATTATCATACATGTCCTGACTTTTGGACCACCCTGTAGAAATGTATGTTTCTGAAACTTACTGGTACAATAAATTGTTTTCAAGGTCATTGTTCGGAACGTAATTGTCTTAAAATATAAACGTGTGTTTGCGTCGGATGTCCCGTGTCCATGGACGTCCACTCCTCCAGCTCCTCTCACGAGTCCCCGACGGGGGCAGACGCCACGGGAACCGAGAGGCAACCCTGTTGTATGTGTTGGGGGTATATACACAACAACTCCGAGAATCTGAGCGACACCAACATCGAACCGTCGCGCAGCAGACGAGGGCGAATCTACTTCTGGTTACTAAATTAGTTTGTTTTGCGGCAATAAGCGAATGTAAAGCACGTATTGACCCCCCCCCCCCGACCTTAGTAAATTCAATAACAATAACCTTGGGTAGTTAATAACTTCCCACTGTCCTCTCATTGCAAGGACTGTGAGTTGAGATAAAGCTACGGAGCTGAGTCTTACATAACAAGACCTGAACCGTCTTGCTGAAGCTGCTGCTGCAGGGGCGGCACTGCGATGAATGGGGACTTTGTGTGCGGGTTGCAACAGACAAAGAGCAACACTGACAACACACGTGATCGTCTATTGCATGGCCGTGAGCCACACGACATTCTGATAAACCCCGAGTCTCACGGGCAACGATCCTGAAAGCTTGACACGTGTGCATCGCCCCTGTTTGTGCCTTGATATGTAGTTGGGTGTTTTTTTGTCGTGGATTTAATTTCTATACAGTACGGTACTGTGCTTTGTTTGATTTTGTGATTGTGGTGACCTAGGTTACTCGTAAATGAGAATTCTAATCCTTGAGTTCTGACGTGGTTACACAAAAGCAACCTAAACTTGAACCGATAGAAATTACAGGAAATGTTGTGGATTAGCTCTCCAATACACCGTTGTGCTGTACGAGTAACCAATTGGCATGTTCTGTTGACGTGACAAACCCCTTACTAAATGGCTGTCTCGGGTGGTGGCGGGTTCAACGACACGTTGATATTTACGCGATCTAACCCAACAAACCTGTATTATGAAGTAAATGATACACTTACACCAACACACGCTGTGTAGAAAGGTCAGGGCTCAGCCCTGCAATTGCCGCTCACGCCGCCGCTGTCCGAAGAGACCTCCACTCGACGGGAGCGCGAGAGGGACTCTCGATGCATTTGTACCACGGTACACCAAAGGTCCGATTCCCACTGGCTGCTGTTGTTTAATGTACAGACTCAGTCTCTTTATCGAGACTTGAGGATTCCGATGAGCTATAAAGCTCCTGTTGATAGATGTCCAGAAGTCGCGGGTCAGCAAGTTACAACAACAAACAATACAAAAACAATCACAGGAGTGCAAACTAGATCAAAGGTAAGCAAGTCACTAAACATGAATAAATATAAAGGTAACATTGCATAAGTACATACATTCGTGCTGGGGCGAGGTAGCAAAACAACAACAAAAACATTCCCGGACCACACCAAGACAACATCACACAGTCCCCCCAATTGCATTGCGCACGGACATTGCCCGGGAATGGAGCACAGTCGACGCACGCCGTCCCACGCGGCCTCTGTGCCGTGCCCACTCGCTCGACCCAATGCGTGCAGGGACCCGCCGCGGTTCCTCGAGTGGAGGGGATGCGCGACTGCTGCCTCACGATTGCTGAGCACGGGGCGCAAAGCGTCGAGCGGCCAGCAACAATCGACACCGCTGTTGTCATAGATACAGAGTTGTCACGTTTCTTGAAATGAGACACGTTATAAGATCTTGGGGAGATAAGATGATGCCGGGAAGGAATTCCAAGGCCGACCAGTGCTAGGAAGCATACATGGAAATTGATTATGGTAATACTGATGATAAAATTGGTATGCTGTTTCTGATCGTGGTGATGCTTCTGATGATGATGATGATGACGATGACAATGTGATGCTGCTGATGACGATGTGATGCTGCTGATGATGATGATGACGATGCTGCTGGTGATGATGACAATGTGATGCTGCGGATGATGATGGTGGTGATGACGCTGCTGCTACCGCTGATCATGTTTAATTGATTGTTGTTGTTGATGATAATAATTTCGATTTAAAGCTTTCGCGACTGCAGGGATTAATCTTATTGGTTCTTTTGGTAAAGTCACCTAGAAGGGAAATAATAAAATAATAATAATAAAACATTATGAAATAATTCTCACGACGTTTCGGCCACAACGCAAGCAGCTGTCCTCAGGTGAAGAACATATCTGTCGGAAAGACAGCGTCTGTGGTGTTCATTCTTTTTTATTTTCCTTCTACGTGACTTTACCGAAAGAACCAAGAAGATGATAATAATAATAATGAATGATGATCATTACTGTTAAAGCGTGAGATATTCTGGTGGGCTAGCACCTTGCTCCCCCGTGTAGCCTCCACAGACTGTCGGGGCGAGTGCTGTTAGCGAGTAGCACCTATGAAGGGTCCGCAGGGACACGATGGGGTGGGTGGCCATCACCACGCCCGGTCGCCTTTGTCTCCCTCCTGGTGATGTTTACACACCACAACAGTTACTCATTTGAGGTTGAGTCGAGCTAGGGGAGTCCCAGGACCGATTCAGTCAATCGTCATTGGTGTTGGTCGTGAGAGGGAATCGAACTCGGGCCGTCGCTTTTAGTAGCGCAGCGTAGCGCGGTAACTGCCCCCTTCTTGATCGATTCGCCGTGTGGGTGAGACGAAGCAGTTTGGCACATCGAGTCCTGAGTGCGGGAGAAGGAATCAATGTTTCAATTCCACGGCAACGGTCGCCATGGTAGAAGCGATAGAAGAGTAGTGACAAGGGGGCGACGGACCACCACCCCCGCCTCCCAGTGAGTTCGCGACTGGAGCGGATCAGTGAGTCAAGCATCGTCAATCAACCTTCAGTCAATGTGAGCAGAAGAACAGCTCGTTCTCAAGCCAACCTGTTCCACTGGTCCCGATGATAGCTGTTACAACATCCACTCCCACACAATCTGCTCCAACGTCATTGGCTTCTGTATCCCCTTGAGTTTTGCTTCTACCGAGTACCCCCCTGCCTGACCCAACATGGTTCTGAGAATTAAATGTATGGACAATGAACATCAATATTATAATCAATTGTCAATTTTGTGAGGCATCCTAACAGGCTGCTCGTAGCTGCAAGCGAATACAAAACATGACACGGACGCTTTGCATGCGTGACGTCATTTGTTCGCTGGTTGCTCTCGGAAACCCGCATTGTTTACGATCAATAAATGTAGAAAGGTATTTATACCACGTGGATTTAAATGTTGTAGTTATTTTGTACTGGCATATTCATACTTGATTATTCACCAACGACTCTCGCGTATGAAGTAATTTCGCACGTTTATAAATAACCTCAGCAGCCCCCATGAGGACATTGTCCGGTTGAGATCAACTAACGACGTCTCGGACCAGGTTCGCGAACACGAGGCAGATCTCAAACACGGCAGAACCAATTCCTCTGCCAGTGGCTGATCACTGCTTGAACGCGGTGGGCTCACACGACATTGTTTTTTCCGAGACCAATGTACTCTGCAAATCTTCGGGCTACCATCAAAGATGTATTCATGAAGCCATCCAGATATAGAAACACAGACATAACCACAACCGAGAAGATGGGTACAAACTGAGCATTCATTGGAAGAAGGTTATTAACAGGTAAAGCCTTAACTGGTTGTTGATGTTTCCATCCTCCCTGCCATTGTCAGCAGGTATTTCCGACTCTCTGAGTTACATTACAATGGCCACCTTCTCAGCTCTCGCATCAACTCCGCTCTCGGCTCTATCTCTCTGAATATCAGGACTTGTTTCAGCAGCCTGTTTCTCTCTCCCACATGAAGACACACACAGAGCCGTGGTCACGGCGAGACAGACACAGCCCGGCGGTGGCTCCCGGCACTACCCCCGGCGCTGACGCAGGAGGAGCTGCTCACACGAGCAACACGTTGTCTCGGCTCGCACTGTGGGAACTTAAAGACGGAGGCGCGTCCACCGGCATTGTGGCAATAGCTGCCACAATGCTGCACTCAACACAATCGCCAATGCCACTGTGGCCTTAAAATAGAACAACATACAGGGTGCTTCAACATGATGGACCCCATTTGAAATTGCTATATCTCTGCAACCACGAACCGCCCATGAATGAAACTCTTACCACTGGAACTTCCGATGACTTCATTTTCCAGCAAAACGGAGCACCGCCACATTTGCACCTGCAGGTTCGGCGTTTTCTCAACGACGCACCGCCTCACCGTTGGATAGGTGGCACGGGACCCCAAGACTTGGCGCTACACTCTTGGCCCCCAAGATCCCGAGACATCACCACACCCTGCGACTTTTTCTTGCGGGGATACGTCAAAGACCGTGTTTTTGTGCCACCATTAGCGACTAGTCTGGATGACCTCAAAAACAGAATCCCGGCAGCGGTGACTTCACTTTGAGAGGCGTTTGGAATGAATTCAACTATCGTCTCGATGTTGTCCGTACAGCAGGTGGAGGACACATAGAGCATTTATAAAATGGTTAGTAAAACTTGATAACTCATTAAACCGTTTGTAACTTTTTGTGTAATTGTAACATGTTGCCATCGTGAAATATACTGCTTTGAAACTGGGTCTATATTTGTGAAACACCCTGTTTATACAGACAACAGCCGACGGTTTGGGCGATGGCCCTTCTTGAAAGCGCATCCATAGGGAGGCCAGAACGAGTGGACAACCCGATAGGAGTGGTGCGAGGAGGCTCGAGCTCACTCCAGTGGAGGCCCTTCCGCCGACAGGGGCACGCGCACGCACTTTCAGGGCGGCGCCTTCACCTTCAGTTACAGCGATCAGGCTTACATTGGTGACGTAGAACACAATTCGCAATGACTACGAGGACATGTGACTGGGCTGACGGTAGCGGAATAGCTGAGATAATTCTCACACGGGCGGCTGGCAGGTAAGAGGATGACGATTAAGAAATTTCGCGGATAACAGGATGAAGATAACGCGGTGTGACGTCAGCCGCGCGGCTGGGTGTGACGTCACTTTACCGCCCGCGTGGGCGTTACTAAAGCAGTTACAAAATCAGATTACATATACGTGATGACGTCACGAGTATAAACATACAGGAGCAAACGTAACTATGGACTGGGTTCGATATTCTGGGTCTCATCACCAAAGTCAGAGTTGGTAAACATATGATGCTGGGTTACCGAGTGTAATTTGCAAGATAAATAAAAAGTATTGGTCTGGAAATCCAATGGGCGGATGGACTAAAACTTTCTTTTATTTGCGTGTGTGTGTGTGTGTTCTGGTCATTGTATACGCCTTGAATGAATAAACACATTTGGCATCCGGCAACACGTAATTACCAACGACTTTTTTAAAGTCGTAATGTCTGCATGTGACGTCAGCACCGGCTGCGTATTTGATGGCGTCATGTCCGCGTGTGAATTTCCGTGCCCGTGACGTCATGCGCGCGATCCGGTGACGTCACGCGAGTCGAAGCGAAGGCGGCCGTTACTCGGGCTTCGTGAAGAAGCGGAGAAGAAGCGAGAGAACGAGGGCAGAGACAGAGAGAGGGGGGTCAAACGACGACGATCATGTCGCGAATTTACCTGGGGAACCTGAGCTACAGGGCGCGCGACAAGGACATCGAGCGCTTCTTCAAGGGCTACGGCAAGATCGTGGAGATCAGCATCAAGCACGGGTGAGCGGCGCGGCCGCGTGCGCCTAGGCCTCGGGCCTGCACCGCGCGCCTCGCACACAACAACAACAGCAGCAGCCACCACCACGACGACGCCGCTTTCACTTTGTATTCAATGCATTTGACGCGATGTACAATAATGTTAAGAAGCTCTCGACGATGCTTTGTGTTCGCGCGTGTGTTGTGCTTGCGTACTGCATATTCTCGGTTAATTGAGCTAACGAATTACACACAAAAGTTTTCCCGCGGAGGGAGGAACGGAGATGGAGGCCGCGGGGCCTGGGCCTTCTCTCCCCCTGGCCGGGCCTTCACTCCCCCTGGCCGGGCCTTCACTCCCCCTGGCCGGGTCTTCACTCCCCCTGGCCGGGTCTTCACCGGGGCCTCCGCCTCGGGATCCCCAGGCCGGGCCTTCGCAGCCCAGCCCGGGCCTTGATTTCACAGCCCGGGCCTTCATTACGAGCCCGGGCCCTTCAGCCGCTGGTTCCCAGCCCGGGCCTTCACCTCGGGCCTCTGCCAGCCTCCATCTCGGGCCTTCATTTCCCAATCCGGACCTTCAGTCCCCACATCTCGGGCCTTCAGTTCCTTCCCCATCTCAGGACCTCGGTCCGGGCCTTCATTCCCCCACGCAGCGCCGGGCGGGGGGCGTCGGTTGCACAACCCTGGGCCTTCAATGCACGTCCTGGGCCTTCCCTCCCTGGTCCGGGCCTTCCCTCCCTGGTCCGGGACTTCACTTGGCGGCGCGGCGGGGCCGGGGCGGAGCCATAGCAGTTAGGGGCGGCTAGGGGCTCCCGCCTGCCTGCCACGGGCCCGCACAGTAAGGCGGCGACGACGAGCAGACGCCGCCGCGGCGCAGGCTGCGGCTCTTCAGACTCAACCCCCCAACACCGCACACCCCCCCCCCCCTGCCCCCTGGGATCCGTCCGTTCACGCTGCGCCTCGCCGCCTCCCCCGGGCCAGGTTCGGCTTCGTGGAGTTTGACGACACCCGCGATGCCAACGACGCCGTGTGCGAGCTGAGCGGCCGCGAGCTCTGCGGCGAGCGCGTGGTCATCGAGCACGCCCGCGGGCCCAAGCGCGACCTGCACGGATACGGGGGCGGCGGCGGCGGCGGCGGTGGCGGCGGCGGCGGCGGCGGCAGCAGCAGCGGCGGAGGATATGGGGGTACGGACTCTGGGCCCTCTGGCACATTGACCCAATCTCGAAGTAAGATCATTATCGGCTCCCCGATGTGTTTTTTTGGTTGCGCCGTGTGTTTGTCCGGCACGATGTCCGACGTTCTGAAGAGCGGAATCCCAGCGCGTTGGAGCAAAACGTCGGACATAGCACCGAACAACACGGCGCAACCCAAAAACACATCGGAGCATTGTACAGCACAACCGCGATAACCAATTCGCTATTGTAAGAGCATCATCCTCGGCCGTGGTTTGTACACTGCCGAATATAACGGCCCATCTCGTCGCCATCAATCACGGTCATTGTAATCATCCTTCCAGCACCTGCATAACGAGTGCATTTCATCGCACCATCTACCCCTTTGTAGTTCCTCTCGGGGGCATTCGTGCCGTTGTCTGCGATTCTCGCTCGTCTCGTCCGTCGACCATCCTTCCTTCTGGGTGTGGGTGATCTGCCTAACCCAAGTCCACCTACATTTACGAGCAGCCGCTATGATGTGTGGTGTGCCAGGCGCAGAAATATTCGTGGATCCACAATCCAGATAAACGTGGCTGGAATTACACCCTCATGGAATCCAGCCTTCTTGGAATGTAGACACGTGTGATGCCTATCCACAGCCATAGCGAGAAATCCATTGCCACCGCACACCGCAGTCAAAGCACAATGCGATTGCTGTGGTGTGGCAACATGCCATGAGGATGGGATGAATATAGGCTTGAATAGATTAGAGCTTTCGGGGATCCATTAGTGCGATCTGAGGAGACCGCTCAACCTCTCTGCCCTTCCCTGCGCTTGGGCGGCAAAAAACGAGCCCCGCTAAGCAGCGGTGAATTATCGGCGTGCGTGCAGTGGTGGCTCTGAACGTGCCAGTGGCTGCGTGTCTGTAGTCACTTGCTAAGCACAAATTCTTTGTAGTGGTGGCATGGTCCACCCCATCCTTTTGGCTGCCATTTTGTCAATCATTTGGATGATGGCCTCCCCACGGCATGCAAATTGTATCGATATTAAACCATGCCTCGCTATGCTCGTCAATGAATGTTGGTGAAAGCAGGGATAATATATGTGAAAGTATAGAAGTACACAGTACAATGTTGAACTTTGCCACGCATCTTGCTACATAGCCTTGAATCCACTTATGTTTGTGCAAAGCACTATCCAGGCTTAGTGCTGCTTGGCTTCCGAGTTTCGACGACATTGGGTGCATTCTCCACATAATTTGGTAATGGTGGTGATTACTTGTTTACAAACTGCACCGAGTATGGTTTCCGGTAGTGGATTGTCGAGAGCGTCTGTGTTTATGCGTGCAGGCGTCTTCCCCGTGCCTGTCGTGCCCAGCTAATGCCGAATGCGTGTTGTGTGTGGGCGGGGCTGGGACAGGCAGCATGGCGTTCCGCCACGGTCCCCCCTCCTCGCACCGACTACCGCCTGGTTGTGGAGAACGTCTCCAGTCGCTGCAGCTGGCAGGACCTCAAGGTGAGACGGAGCTCCCAGGGCTACCACGTGGTGGCTTTCATAATGCCCACCGCGGTCTCCGCCTCTCCGTGTCTGCTTACCATTCTTCTCTGTTTGAATACAAATTAAATTGCTACCACGTCCGTCTCGTGATTGGTGAAACGCAGGCACGAAAATATTAACCTTCGCCTCTACAGCAGTGATTCAATTAATGATCACTGTTGATGTCGCACTGCGATCGAGAATCCACAGCTTTTTATTAATATTTTTTTGTAAAACTCACGTTTTGAATGTGGTGGATACTTTTCAAAACATAGGATTTTTATTCTGTCAAACTGCAGCATCCACTTTAAAAATGTTCTTAAAGTTGCATGACCCAAAGAGGACATTCTGAACATCCCACGAGAGCGGGGCTTCTGATTGGCCTTCACAGATGACAAGGGATCACCGTGGAGTGAGAGAAGTGGCAGTTCTGCCTTGCGCTCAAACCTCTGTGCATTGACCGCACGGTCACCCGTGCACTGTACAGTATGTCCCTGGGCTCTTGATTCGTCCATCGATATTAATGGGTTCGTACTTTGCAGTCTGCGGTGCGAAAGTGACCAGTGAGAATGAGACAAGTCAACACGCGGTGGAGGTGGCGAGGGTGCAATGCCGTCTGGTGCTGGCGTGCCCTCCCTCCCTACGCAAACACCCGCACTGCTGTTAGTGTGTGGAATGGGGGCACTGTCCATTTTGCCAATGTACGCGGCACAGGCAGAGGGGGCAGCTGTTTCCATGTGGCCAGATCACCCCAAATGCGCCCGATGTCGTCAGATCTCCGAAGCTTTGCAGGCTGTGAGCCTGGTCAGTTTTTGGAAGACTGCCGTTTACTGTGCACCTGAACCACCAGGATAATGCAACACACAATATGTGTATGTTATCCGAGCCGAGCTTTGAGTTCTCCCCCACCCCCCAACCTGCACTCAAAAGGTGTTGAACATTGAACACTTGAGCTCGTTTTAGCCGTAGCGCTGTTATTGTGCGCAAAATGAGCACTCGCTTACTCAGTCGTGCTCAAGTAAACTCTTGGCAAGTGTTAAGATTAGTGGCCCAAGAATGGTGTCAATAATAGGTGGCGAAAACAGCAATGCCCCCTGCTCTTTGAGACAAGCGTAACCCTGGGTGTTATGTAACGTCCCTGCTGATGCACTTCAATCCAGCAGGAGGCGGTATAGTCACGCACAGACAAAGCCAGCATCGGCTGCTGGGCAAATGATGTGTGCAAGGACTTATTAATGCTGGCACAGGGCCTAAGGGGGTGGGGGTGGTTTTGACGACACCACTCCTATCCACCTTTGTCTCCCCGGTGCTTATATTTACACACGAGGTACTCATTTAAGGCCGAGTAGACTTATGGAAACCCAGTACTTGTTCAGGTAATCACTATAAATGTTAGCTATGGGCAGTAATAACAAATGGGGTGCTTGGATTCACAGCACAGGGCGCCAACCACTGCACCTCCGCTCCTGACAATACGGTGGCGCACGTGCGCTTGCGTAGACGGCAACGGCCGGCTGTCGTTAACATAGAATTGATGGGTCGGGCACGCGGCTCGCACCAGCGCTGTTGCCCTCGCGCGACGAGCATCTCGTTTAAAACAAATCGTACTGCACAGACGATGCGCACGGCATCCACTTGATTAGCACCGTTGGGTGCGACGACGCAGGGACAAACGATGGCCCTTAAAGGCTCGTAAATATCCACTGCTTTACTCGGAGTGTTGGTCAGTGTTTGCCGTGGCCCGTTGTTTGTGTTTAGCGAACAAATACGGCCGGCCTTTAAACTAACAACTGCACTCTGCAAACCGCACGTGTGCCAAGTCAGCTGTGACCTGACGGATGATGCTCGGCTGAAAGCGAGGGTTGTTAGATATTGTGTTGACGTTTTGTTTGAAGATAAGCGCCCGTGGTGAAAGTAGCAGCAGTCTGTTAGTGATTACCGTGGAAGCTTGGATTGCAGTGGGTACAGCAGCACTTTGTCAGACCACCACTGGATGTTCTCCACACTCCCATATCAGTCATGGGGGTTGATGCCCATACTTCATGCTTGTCATTGCGGGTTGGTGAAGGGTGGCAAGGTTCACTCCCCACTGTTCAGTAATAAAACTGGTTGCCAGGTTCATCGCGTGGTGTGCCAACTACTGCACCATCGCTGCAACCTCTGGATCGTAGTGTTTGTCTAAAGCTTGCAAAATGTTGAGTATAATTAGTGAACTATATAAATTATGCTGTTGACAGCTTGTTTTTATATTTAAATCCACCAACTCTCTTAGCAGCATCGATTCATAGTCCATACTTCACGCTTTGGTCAGTAGGCATTAAGTTGTGCATGCGAGACTTGGTTTCCAATTGTGTATGCCATTTGGAATTGAATTCACGCACGATTGATGGGTGTATCATGGCAACCCCCCTTCAACCGATGCTGAGCAGCATGGTGAAGTATGGTCAAACAACTCCCATGAGTGACACGGTGTGGGGGAGGCCTTCATCCAACAGTTGCTTATACAAAATGGCTGTACTTGAACACAAAGGGATCAAAACGTCTATTGTATAAGCTACGGTATGCAATGAGGTCGCACGGCTCGTACAACCACTCGAGGCACTACAATGCCCCGCGGTATAAAAATAATCATCAAACGGTATGGGGGAGAATCGTCACAGGCCTATTTAGGACCCTGTGGACTACACAGCCAGACTCGCTTGAAGTAGAAATGTCTTTGTTCAGTGGCATCATGATTACGCCTCTCGGTGCTTGCATCCCACTTGGGTGGTGCGGCGTGCACAGCGCAAGGCTCGAAGTCGGAAGGTTTCGGGTTCACACCGCGGTCTTGGGAAATGCCAGCCCCGAATCTCTGGGATCGTTAACATGAGTTCCGTTTAGTGGAAAGTTGGCAGTGAATGTCCTTCCTGTTAATTTGTCCACACCATGGAAATAATATTTCTCCTGAATGGTTGTTTGAGCAGAACCCCACTTTCGTTTTGTTGTTTATGGCCTATGAAGAAGAGCCATTGCCTGAAATGTCCCCTTATTGACGAACGCGTTGAATGCGTGTTATCTTTTATCGTTATGGAACTAGTGACGTCACTTGATTAAATCGCCATCAATGGCTTCATTTTAATGCTCAAGCGATGCCACTCCACACCCAGATTCCTAAAGTCTTCCAAGATATGGCAGGACATCAGGTGGGATCATGAGCCCATTTCTCTCTGGCTTCCTCCCACACACATCCCCTGACCAGGGTTGAGGAGTAGGCCCGACCACTCTTGCTTGTGGGAGGCCCTTTTTCTCCCAGCGGCGTGAGCATGAAATTGCAAGGATTTACCTTTGACCCAGGGTAGGGGTGGAGAGGGGCGAGGGTGCATCAACTTCCATTCATAGACAAGCGAGTTGATTGATGTACATTGCGTGTACCTATGTTGAACTTCTTTCGCACCGTACGTCGGCAACACGTGCCGATCGGAGGTGCGGCATTGCAATCGCGCGTCTACCCCCGTGTGAGACGAGGCGGTTGTTGTCGCTCCAGGACTACATGCGGCAGGCGGGCGAGGTGACGTACGCGGACGTGCGCGGGGACGAGGGCGTGGTGGAGTTCCTGACGTACGCTGACATGCGCCGCGCGCTCGACAAGCTCGACGGCTCCGACATGTACGGCCGCAAGATACGGCTCACGGAGGAGCGCAGCTTCTCCCGGCGCCGCCGCTCGCGCTCCCGCTCCCGCACGCGGTGAGCGCCCGCGCGGCAAACGCGCCAACACCGTGCGGTAACACCGGAGCGTTGTCACTAAATGCTCGAAAGATCGAAATTCAAGTCTGCTTTGGCTAATTTTGGTTATAGACTTCTTCCCTGGGTCGTTGTTCAGCCTCCTGGCTCTTTGTCTTTGGGATGTTTAACGTATATTTTAAACGAGACGTTTCGGTGAGCCGGAACAATAACAATTGGCGCTTTTAAACACGGGACCGTTTGTATTTTTGCAGCTGTTGGGTTGTGGAGGGTCATCACGACACAAAAATCAATGCAGCACACTTGCCCCCGACAGTGTGTTAAAAATGACACGGGGGATCTTTGTTTTACGAGTGCGTCGGTTTGATCACGTGTATGCGTGTCGGTGCATGTCCCCAGCTCTCCACGGCGCCGATCCCTGAGCCGCAGCAAGAGCCGCCGCTCGCGCTCCAAGTCGCGCTCACGGTGAGTGCTGCCCTTCCCTCGCACCGCCCGTGCGGTCTTTTGAGCTCTCCGCAGGAGACAAGGCAACCACGTTCACAACCGCATTTTGATTGATGGGCACGCTGCGTTTTTAAACGACCGCATTTCTCATTTATATGCGTTTTTCACAATGTAAAAAATCGGGAGTAAAGCATAAATAACGAGGGAAATTTCGATTTAAAGCTTTTGTGACTGCAGGGATTCATCTTCTTGGTTCTTTCGGTAAAGTCAGGTAGAAGGGAAGTAATAAAATAATAAAAATTAAACATAATATAATAATTCTCACGACGTTTCGGCCACAACGCAAGCAGCCGTCCTCAGGTGAAGACCAGGTCTGTCGGGGAGACAGCGTCTGAAGAAAACGAGGGAAATGTCTAAAGGAATGGGTCTCACATCCCGCAGCAATGGTGTTTTTATTAATTCTGAGAGGCCTCATGGTGGGGTGAAGACCTCCTTTCAGAGTGGGAACGTGGGCCCCTTTGTGCTGTCCGTGACCACACAAGGCCGGTTGCTTCGAAAACGGCCCCTAAACGATGTTTACCGGTCCCTGCAAGCATCGTAACCGGACTAATTGGGTGTTTGAAGGAACTACATTCGAACTGGCGAACACGGGGTTTCTAAGTTTAGTGCCATGCTCAGTCACTTATGTCACAGCAAGGGCTTCTTGCAATGACAGAGGTGACCGAGGCGTGTGTTAATGCACCGCCCGCCAGAGGTATTTGACAGTCTTCTTTGACCTTCAAATACTTGTTAAAGTTACAACAAGCCCCTTGCGATCAAATCGGGACAGAAAACGACTTCTGACCGCCATTAATCAATTCTTTGGGCGCATAGATCCCACAAAGCCGTCCATGGCCATCCTACAAGGTACGAGTGAGGAGACCAGATACGAGGGGATGCCCAAGGGAGATGAGGGGGATTCGGAGCACCGCACACCGAACGGGCTTAAACCTCAACCAGCTGATCCGTGAAGATGAGGATTGGGCAAAGTGGTGGGAGATGACAACCGGAGCTGCCAACGTGATCTTACCGTGAGGACGGTCATGGGGCCACAGCCGGACGGGTGAATTTAATCCTCGGCAAGGAAAAGGTTTCTCCGACACCCAGACCTACAAGCGTTCCGTCAGGTGCAGGGGTAGTGTTGTTGAGGCCCTATTATCACCCTGACCGGCTGTGCTCGTGTGTTGCTGTGCTCGTCTGTGTGCGTCTGTTGGATGTGCCGGCGTGCGTGCGTGTGGTGCTGGCGTGCGTGTTTGTGACTGCGTGCATGCGTGTGCGTGGCTGCGCTTGCGTGTTTGTGACTGCGTGCGTTCACATCGGCAGATCGCGCGGCAAGGCAAGTCGCCGCTCCAAGTCGCGCTCTCGCTCCAAGTCGCGTTCCCGATCCAAGTCGCGTTCCCGCTCCAAGTCGCGTTCGCGCTCCAAGTCGCGCTCTCGCTCCAAGAGCCCCGTCGTCAAGGGCAGCCGCTCGCGCTCCAAGTCCCGCTCTCCGCCACGGAAAATGATGCGGTCGCCATCCCGCTCGCCGCTCAAGCAGAACGGCGGCGGCGCCGATGGGGACCAGGGGGGGGCCCAGCGCCAGGCCGGCTCGCGCTCCCGCTCGCCGGCGCGGTCCAAGTCTCGCTCGCGCTCGCCGGCGCACTCTTCGTCGCCCATGCGCTGTCGCTCCACCTCGCCCCGCGATTGAAAAACTTCCCCTTTTATCTGACCTCTGACCCCTTTCTAAAGACCCCGCAGATTCCATTGGCCCAGGCGCCTACCCCCTCCCCCCATTTACCTGTTGAGTTAATTTTGTTTCTTTTCTAGTTTTATTCACTACCAGCTCGCAATTTTTTTGTTATGAATATTAACCTCTTTAGATTTGTGTTACGCTTCAGCAGGATTAAAGATTCAGCGGCGTTAGATTAATCGAGTTACAATCCTAAAATAAAACTACAAAAGTTATTATTACATTTTCCATACAAATGAACGCCAGGGAGAGGGGGGTTTCAGGCACCGGTCCCCACGTTGCGACGTTTTAATCTTTTTCCCTTGCGGTGGGTGGGCACGGTATGTTCGTTGTGAAGTCAGTGTTGCATTGTGGGGTGACGTGGCACCGCAGGGCATGGTAGCCGCAAGTGAGATGGATGGGCCCCCAGTCGATAGTGGTGACTTTAGGAAATGTCCAACCCCTACACACTCCCCACCGAAAGTCCCACTTTGCACGCTCGGTGTTTAAAGTGTTGCCATGGTTACCATCGTCATTCCTGTCCTAACGCAGTTTTCTCTTTGTGCTAAACCAAACAAAAAAACGTGTAATTTGTCGCCACTGCCACGAGTGAGACCTGCGGAGGTCAACGCTCCCAAACGAACACCCCCACGTGTGCCCCCACGCTCCCCAGCGTCCGCTTGCTCCCTCACGCCACCCGTGTCCCCCTGCCCCCCGCAGCCTGCTCCCCTTTGCTCCCCCTGTGATTGTGAAACACGCCTCAGTCTCACCCTGGCATAGTCTCGTCCTGGAACAAACGGTAGCGCCTTGGCAGTCGTTCATTTCCAGTGTCACGCCTGCGATTTAATTTCCTTTGCAACGTGCGAGTAAATGGTTTATTTTAGCGGTGTATTGCGTAAAACCCTAATTGCTTTTAGCAGGGAGGGAGAGGGTTCTCGGTTAATGAAGTCTCTCCTTAAAAGGATATGAGAGTTGACCGGCAGTCAAAATCAACTTTCTAAAATTGTCGTTAATCAAACACATTTCTAGTGCCCTCCCCCGTCCACCGCCAACCTCCGTTGTTGCTTTTTCCAGCGCTAGTTCCGTTGTCCCCCGCTGATAGCTTCTCGCGAAGACGACCTTCGAAAGGACGTCTGCGTGCCGCGTGGGCGCCGCGTGGGCACCGAGCGGACGAGGTTTGTGTTTGGTGTTCCCGTGCCGCTCGCTCGCCGGCTCGGTCACTTCGCGACGAGTCGCTCTCGCGATGGCTCTTGGACGAGCCGTCCACCACGACGACACATCCCGGCGTGGTCGATGTGTGCCCATGGTGGTGGGTGACGAGGTGTGTTATGGTGTGGTTGGCTTTGTCCCGTCGTGGATGACACATCCGGTCCACACTTGGCTGTGAATGCTTGTCCCCCCCCACTACCCCTGTAACCGTGTGGGCGGTGCATGTCAGCCTGGGAAATTTGCAGCGCTAGCATCGGCGTGTGCTCTGGCAGTGCTTCTCCTTAGGGATTCATCATGCGTAATAGCCACCCTCCAACAGCAGAAAAGAAATCGGCTGGGAGCAAATGAATTACAGCGGCTCGCTGTGTCGTGAGTACAGCTCTCTTCATTTTCCAGGTAGTGAGAGGTGGAAGGGGGATTGGGCCGAGAGACCCCTTGATCATCTTAGAGGTCCTGTCCTGTTCTCTGAAACCGTGGGGATGCCGAGACCTCGGTGGGAGGTTTTTTTTTTCGGACATTTCACCAGCCTCGACTGCATCCCGTCGATGTCGGCTTCGGGAAATGTCAACGTCGCCGTGTCGCATAGTGCCGCAGCGCGTAACATCGTGTTTTGTATTGACAGGTTTAGAAATGTGACGCGACTTCTGATTGAAAACACTTCAGGCTTATTGCATGCGACATACGCGGAGCGTTGCTAACCAGTAGGCGATCGCAGCTTAGTCTTGAGTGTTGGCGTTTAGGGCGAGGAGTCGCCGGGAGTAGGCTTGTTGATATTTTACCCGATTCGTAATCGAGTTCCACAAGTCATGGGAATCGATAATCGGAACACGGTTTGAGTTGAGTTGCAATGAAACCGATTGGCATGCCAACATTTCTTTTTGGTCATTTTATAACTCGGCACAAGCCATATTAACAAGAGCTTTACAGCCCGTTATTCCACTGCGAGATGGCCTCACCATGCCCTGCCAGTATGGGGAATGGTTGAACATACTTCACCACCCTGGTTAGGGCGTGTTGGGGAAGGTGAGGTTGATGAACTGAAGACTTTTTTTCTCCTTTTTCATTTAAACATCAATGCTAAAAACTCGAAAAAACCCTGCTGCAGAGTGCGGCGCACATGTTGATGGGGATGGAAGACAGCCAGAGCCTGTGCTCGCGATTCGTCTTGGCAGATTGAATGGAAATCGCGCACCGAAGTCTCCGCTGCCCGTGTGGCTCGTTGCCAACCTGCGACGCGCGCCCCCTCGCCACTAAAGTGGTGCGCCAACGCAGAAATTGCCCACGAACCGAAAAATCTCCACTAGAAGAGAGTCTTTGTCCCGTGACACGATGCCAGGAACACGGTTGTATTTTAGGTGGGGTGGGGGGGGGGTGAACAAACACGTTATTGTTTTGAAGGTGCTGTTGCCTGAAATGTTGGCCTGCAGTCCGCAATTCTTTTACAGTTTTAAGAGTGATGTTCCTGCCCAGTGGTGAGGGCGTTTTGGTCTATTTTGTGGGAGTGAGGAAAGAGTGGTGGGGTATTGGCGATGTGGCCGATGGAAAATGAGCGAGGATTTGGGGTGGGGGGGGGACACTTAGGACGTGGGCCTGCGTCTCTTGCCAAAGCGACGATGCATTTCGGTCACTGGCAGAACGGTGAATCTGGCCTGTCGACGTGAATGTCACGCGTGGCTGTGAGAGGGATGCCTCCCCACCATCATTAACGCGGTCGTAGAACACACAATATATGTGATGCGCCGAGGCTTTTTGGCAGTGGCCCTGGAAAGTTGGACCGTTGCCAAAAATGTAGTCCATTATATACGAGCGCCAAGGCAGCTTGAGTAGTAAATGTGAGTTTTTGAATTTACGCAAGTACACCACTGAAGCTCCTTAGTTTCAAATAACGTGCATTTCAAGAATTGGATTTAGCTTAGTGTCCTGTTTCCGCGCCTAATGGGGATGGTGCACTGCACTTTGACCCTGGCGACTCTGCTCTTGATTCTCAACCGTGGGCAACATCGATGGCAAATATCTCATCGGGTCCTGGGCCCTCTCTCCACGCTGCCCAACCTGGAAGAATGTCAAACAGCCATCGCAGCTCACGAAATGGGGAGGCCATCCAGCGCTGGATTGACAGTGCGCTGTACACTTACGTGATTTAAATATAAATAATATTTACAGCCTTTTGTCAATTATCCACTGCTGGATGAAGGGCACCCGATGGCGTTGTAATCACCATTACAATCCACTGCCGGACTTTGTAAGAGCCCCTTACCACCTGTACCAAGGTGTCCTCGTCGTGTTACACGAAGGCGTCATTTTAAACAAATCTCGCAGCTTCGTCTCCCGTTCATGGAGTGAAGGAACGCCTGACGGAACAAAGGGAATCGATCTCCCCACGCGTGCCCTGTGCACGGCACCTCTGAGGAGACGCGGGATCTGAAACGACGCTGTTTTGTGTTTTTTGTCCCCAAATATCTTAATACAGTTTTTAAAAACGTGTCTCGTGGTTGTGGTGTTTGTGTGGTGGTGTCTCGTGGTTGTGGTGTTTGTGTGGTGGTGTCTCGTGGTTGTGGTGTTTGTGTGGTGGTGTCTCGTGGTTGTGGTGTTTGTGTGGTGGTGTCTCGTGGTTGTGGTGTTTGTGTGGTGGTGTGCACGGTGAGCTGTTCCGCGTGGTGTTGGTGTCTTAAGATTGTCGTGTTACTGATTTCGACATTTGTGGTTGTGTTGGCAGTGGTGAAATGTAAGTATGAGTGGTGGTGTTTGGGTTGTGGTAATGATGTGCATTGTGAGGTCGTGGCTCTTCAGTTGGAAGTGAGTTGTCTGCGGTTGGTGGTGGTAGTTGTTGGGTCGTGTAGCCCGCATGCCCAACCACCGCATGCCCAAGCAGCTAAACGGGCGCGGCACGGGCTCGAGAAGAGGTGGACTGATGTGGTGCAAAAGGATGTGGAGCTGATTGGACTTGCTGATGACCGGTAACCATTGGTGTAAAGACCGTCCTCTGGAGGAGGTTCGTGAAGGACTCTGCTGGGGAGGTGGAGGCAGGCGCCCTCCAGCAGATGGGCGACGCTCACATAAAAAAAAAGTAGCAAAGTCGGGAGCACAGCTGATGCATCTGCCAGTCATCTCGGTCAACCCACGGCGCCTCGGTATGCTCTGTGACCTGACAACGGCCCTTCGACACTTCACGTGGCCTCGCCAAGCATGGCACAAGCGCCGCCGTGACGTCCCCGCCACTTGTGGTTGTCGTCGGCGGACTGCTGAAAGTGACTGACGCCAGGCGGCGTCGTGGTTTAGTGACGCGCCCCGCAATGTCGCAGCACCGGCCATGACGGGGTGAGGAAAGCTGTGCAGCCGGGTAAATATGAGACGCTGCTGGTAAATATAGAACACTGAGCATTGCGACCCCCAGAGAGAGCTCGGGATGAATGTGCGGTGAATATCGCAGGTGCTCAATTCGCGTGCCACTTGGGAAATTCCACGTGAAGCCAAATGGTGTGAGGGCGTGGCTCAGGTTGGAGAGCTTTGGGGTTGCTGTTGGCGAGAGAAGGGAACGCCTGGGCTGGTGTATGGCGGGTATGGCCACGGCTGGCGTAGGATGATGATTTCGTACGACCATTGAAGATCACCTATTACATATTCAGAGCTTAGTGCTTTGATAGTTTGTGAATTTTGCACATCCATACACTCATTCTCCCACTCACATCCACTTACCAACTCGCTCATATACCCACCGCCTTCAAATGTATATTTGGGACAATGCGACATTTAGTGGTCAATGGTTGAGTGTTTGACCCGCAAGTGACACGCGGGAGAGAATGCCATCTTTTCCACGTGTGCGTGGCAAGTACACGTGTGGGTGGGGCCCCATCTGGGCGTGGCTAGTATAGGTGTAGGTGGGGCCACGCACCGGTGGGCGTGGCTAGTACAGGTGAGGGTGGGGCCACACCTCTGCGGGCGTGGCTAGTACAGGTGTGCGAGAGGAGGGGACAGGTGTGCCTGTGGAGAGGAAGCGTCACTTCCCCGGAGCTCGCGAAGGAGAGGAGACATGGAGCGGGGAGCCGCGGTCCAGGTACGGCTCCTGCTTGCCCGGTCGTGCCAGGACCCCTCGCCGCGGGGGGGGGGGGGGGGATCCCATAGGGTGCGGGGTTGGGGGGCAATGGGGGAGGGAGAGGTGGCTTGGCTGAGTGACAGCTGAGATAGAAGGTGGCACAGCTGATAATGTGTGAAGGAATAGCAGCACGGCGGAGATGAGATACCAGGTGACAGTTGCGATAGGAGGTGACAAGCTGAGTGACAGCTGAGATAGGTGGCACAGCTGACAATGTGTGATGGAGAAGCGCAGGTGAGATCGGTGATAGCTGAGTTCAAATGTGGCTCAGCTGATCGGTGGCATAGCTAATTATTTCTTTTGCCTGAACAGACTTTTGGAGGAAGTGCTGTTAGCGAGTACCTATGAAGGCCGCCACGGCACACGAGGGGGTGGTTGTCCAGCACCGCGCCTGACTGCCTTTATCTCTTGAGTAGCGATGTGTGCACATCCAACTAGTTACTCATTTCAGGCTGAGTTGGCCTAGGGGAGGTCCGGGACTGGTGTTGGCCACGAGCGGGAATCAAACTCTGGTCGCCAGGGATACAAACACGGGCTACGCACGGGAGGTCACCGAAGTCGAGGCAGAGGCCGTCACTGTCAGGTGCGTAACGGAGTGTGTCATCATCTCCTGGAGCCTCCTCAACCCCCCGCAAGCGCACGCCGTGCCGCAAAACGCTGCACGCACCCGATAGTTGGTAACAGCCGATACCAGAGCCAGTGCCAACCTCGTGGCCCGACTCGTATCTCTATCATTCGTCCATCACCGCTCGCCCAACCACGACCTAACCCGAATATAACCGTGATTCTATCCTGACCTTGACTCTGCCCTACACCGCAGTGGCTCCCATCTGTGATGCCCGTGTGATGGAAGGAATCGTGGCTTTAAATAGAAGATCGATTTGAATCGCTGTGTTGCGAACCCTGCTGCTGGGCTCCATCGCTGATGGAGGGGTCTGTGTCGCTTGTGGGGGAAGGGTCACAATTAGGAGAGGGAGGGGAGGGAGCCTGGTGGAGTGTTTCAATCGAGATCGGAGCTGCATCTCTGCCTGGCTCCATCCGCGGAGCAAGCGAGGGGAGGAGGAGGAGGGGGGGATGCAAGGGAACACGGGAGGGAGGGGGCGGAGGGAGGCAGATGGAGGGAGGGATACAAGTCCCCCCGCCTCCCGCTCCTCCCTCCCGCCTTGGCGCCGCGATCCTCTCCGGGAGATGCTCCGTCTCTTCGTATCACGTCCCGTTGCTGCTGCTCTCGCCGTTGCGATGGCCCGCGGATAAACAGGGCACCAGCCGCACCAGCCGCACCAGCCGCACCAGCCGCACCAGCGGCGTGTGCGGGAAGCGACCTGTCCTCGAATTGCGAGCGGTCGTGGCGTGCGGCGACATTTATTTATTTATTTTGTGCAACAATTCTGTGATCTGACGCGCGAGCTGTGATTTAGCGGCGCTCCAGGTCGTGTCATCACAACTCTTGGACACTCATCTCCATCGCCTCCATCACCTCCATCATCACCATCATCCCCATTATCGCACACTGTACCTGCCTCCCCTCTCCCCGAGTGCGTGAGCTGTGATTTGCGTGCTCCCTGCGTTTTGCTTAAAAGTCTCCCTGCTGCTGCTTCTGCTGCTGCTTCTGCTGTTGCCTCTGCGTCAATTTGTCTCAATTTGCATCCTAAACGTTTCTTCGCCTCGCGTCGTCTCCCTCCTCCCATCTCCATCGGCTCTCCTCCACCCTCCCGCGTCCCACATCACCCGTCCGCGCCGCACATCTCGGTCCGTCCGTCGCCCCCACGCCCACCACCACCTCTCCCCGTCCTCCTCTCTCCCTCTCCTCCATCGCCTCTCTCTCTTGCTTCTTCTCTCTTCTGTCATCTCTCCTCTCCCTCTCACCTCGCGTCCCTTTTTCCTCTCTCTCTCCTATTCTTCTCCCCTCCCTCCCTCCCTCTCTCTCTACTCCCCCTCCCTCTGTCATCCCTCCTCCCGCCCGGCTCTCGATTTCCACTCGCGCTGCTCTCCAGCCAGGGCCGCCGCTCCTCCACCGATGCCGGCCATGATCGCCACGGGCGGCCTCATCCGCGGTCTCGCCGCGGCCACGCGGAAGCAGGAGGCCATGCGGGGCCTGGACCCCGAAGGCGACCCCGGCTCCACGCGCCGCCAGCGCCGGCGGCGACGGCGGCGGCGCAAGAGGAAGCGCGAGGGGCGCGACGTGGTGCTGGTGCGAGGCCGCCTGCGCCTCGTGTCCCTGGCCGGGCTGGTGGCCCTGCTGGGGCTGCTGGTGCTGGCCCTGGGCATCGCCCTGGCGGTGCTCGGGTACTGGCCGCCTCCATCTGCGCCGTCGTCTCCGGACTCTGACGACGCCGCCCCCAAGGACGACGCCGCCGAGTCGAGTCGAGACAACGGCACCGCCGCCCGGGACCGGGTGCGAGGCTTCCACGGCGTCCGCGGCGAGAGGGGGCAGCGCGGCAGCGCCGAGGAAGTCCCCGCAGCGCGCAGCCTGCGCTGGCTGGCGGGGCAGATGCTGAGCGCCGAGCGCATGAAGGTGGTGGGACCGCTCGTGATGGGAGTGGGGATCTTCGTGTTCATCTGCGCCAACGCGGTGCTGCACGAGCGCCGAGACCGCGACACGCGCCTCATCCGCCTGCGCGACCTCTACTCGTCGGCCATCGACGCGGCGGCCAACGGGGTCGCTGGCCTGGGGCCGCCGCCGCAGCAGCAGCAGCAAGCGCCGCTCGCCACTGTGGAGACCCTGAAGCCACGTGATGAGATGCGGAGAGCCCGAGGAGGAGGAGGAGTTGCTCTTCCTGGGGTCCCCTCCTCCTCCACCGCTTCCTCGCCGCGGCCACCCCGCGGAGACCCCCTTGTCCCGTCGGGGTCCAAGGCAGGGATCCGCGGGGCTGCGACTGAGGGGACCCTGGAGATGACCCGTGAGACGAGGTTTTGACTGCGAGAGGAGGTTTTGATTCTGGAAGGAGGAGGAATGATTGTGAGGAGGGAGAGTTTCCCGACATGAGCCCAGGAGACGCTTTCTGACCACGGGCTCACATCATCGCATCCCATTGCATCCCGTCGCATCGCGTCCCATTGCGTGGCGTCGCATCGCGTGGGCGATTCGCCGCACCCCTTGGCTGGCGGTGATGGAGACATCGGAAAAGTTTGTTGCCGGAATGGTCGGAAGGAACTGGAGCAGTGATCAGCAACAAGTGGATTCTGACCTTCGCTCTCCTCCCCTCTCTCCTCCGCGTTCCCCACCGCTCCCTGGGGTTCACCCGGGTTCACTGGATACCTGCAATCCCTGGTGTCACCACGTGGGAGAGGACGGGAGGGAGTTCTCGGAGCTGGGAACTTTTGGTTTGACACCCGGTCGCGGGTGGAGGACCCGGACGTGCCGAGTGCGTGTGGCGTGAAGCACTTTGTCTGGACTGAGCGGAGTCGTCGCGAGGTGCGTGGAGGGGTGAACACGGGGACGTTTGGTGTGGGAAACACACGAGTTCGACACCTGGGCAGCCGCGATCCATGGGGGGAGGGGACGGACGGGAGGGATGACGGGTTAAGTTGGGGTGATTCAGCCCATCACCACAGTCCTCCGGTCGATAAAAAAACTATAATCAGCACTTTTCGATAATTTAACGGCGTGTGTTTGTGTGTGTCACGGTCAGACTGGTCACCGTCATAGGAACGTCCCATTCCCACCACTGGCTAAGTGCCCCCCGCCGCCCACGTGATGAGAGCAGCCAGGCGCGGCCACGTGGCCTCAGCGCCTCGCGACGCGCGGTGCTCGTGCAGCCCCTTGCGTCGCTCCACTGCTGGATGAGGGCCTCCCCACGCCCTGCAGGTGCGGGGTTGGTGAGGGCGGGGAGCAGCGTAGCGGCCTACAGCAAGCAGCCTTGCACGATGTTTCCCTTCCCAATCACTCACCAGGCTCGACGCTTGCTCGGCTGCCCGAGAGGCGACGACTCTGCGGGCCATTGGCCGTGGGCCACGCGCGGCTCTCTCCGCCGTCACGCTCCACGGGCGTTCTCTGGATTGCAGCCGCTAGAGGCCGCTACATTGACCGCGATGTAACAAATATAATAATCGATCATCGACTCGCGATCCAGATTTTGCAATCCCTGCCGGGGAGATGGGAATGGCGCGGGGCTCGTTGTGAATGCGGCGACGTCGCTGGAGCGCTGTCACGGCGACCCATCCGGAGAGGGCAGCCGCTCGACTCGACTGATCGCGACCATTTCTTTTCCTCCTATTGCGCAACTGCTCGCTCAGCTGTGGACAAAGCAGCTGCGTCCGATGAATTTGAGAGCGACTTGGTCGCGTGGCAGACCCAGGAGAACCCGGGACCCGTGCAGCCGAAAGACACCGCTGCTAACTCCACAGGACCACGGGGTCTCTGTGTAAGAGGGACCTCTAAGGGACCCCCGAATCCCTCTCATCTGCCCTTCCCCCCGTGGCTAGAACCCCCACCCCCTTGTTTTTCGGACAAACTTCATTATCGCGGGGGTCTCGTAGTGGGGTTACGGGGGTTTGTACAGACACAGGGACCTCCCGTGTGTGTGTGTCCGGGGTTGAAGACCCCCTCTGACGACGGAGGCCGCGTCCCCCGAGACCCGAGAAGATCCCTATGAAGGGGATCTCCGTCGGGCGTGAGAGTCGGCGTGTTGGGGCTCAGCGTCGTTAACATTAACATAGCACACAGCACAGACAGTTGACGTCACACACAGCACAGACAGTTGACGTCACACACAGCACAGACAGTTCACGTCATACACAGCACAGACAGTTGACGTCACACACAGCACAGACAGTTGACGTCACACACAGCACAGACAGTTGACGTCACACACAGCACAGACAGTTGACGTCACACACAGCACAGACAGTTGACGTCACACACAGCACAGACAGTTCACGTCACACACAGCACAGACAGTTGACGTCACACAGCACAAACAGTTGACGTCACACACAGCACAGACAGTTGACGTCACACACAGCACAGACAGTTCACGTCACACACAGCACAGACAGTTGACGTCACACACAGCACAGACAGTTCACGTCACACACAGCACAGACAGTTGACGTCACACAGCACAAACAGTTGACGTCACACACAGCACAGACAGTTGACGTCACACACAGCACAGACAGTTCACGTCACACACAGCACAGACAGTTGACGTCACACACAGCACAGACAGTTCACGTCACATACAGCACAAGCAGTACACGTCACACACAGCACAGACAGTACACGTCACACACAGCACAGACAGTTGACGTCACACAGCACAAACAGTTGACGTCACACACAGCACAGACAGTTGACGTCACACAGCACAGACAGTTGACGTCACACACAGCACAGATAGTTGACGTCACACACAGCACAGACAGTTGACGTCACACACAGCACAGACAGTACACGTCACACACAGCACAGACAGTTGACGTCACACACAGCACAGACAGTTGACGTCACACACAGCACAGACAGTACACGTCACACACAGCACAAGCAGTTGACGTCACACACAGCACAGACAGTTCACGTCACACACAGCACAGACAGTTGACGTCACACACAGCACAAACAGTTGACGTCACACACAGCACAGATAGTTGACGTCACACACAGCACAAACAGTTGACGTCACACACAGCACAGACAGTTCACGTCACACAGCACAGACAGTTGACGTCACACACAGCACAGATAGTTGACGTCACACAGCACAGACAGTTGACGTCACACACAGCACAGACAGTACACGTCACACACAGCACAGATAGTTGACGTCACACACAGCACAGACAGTACACGTCACACACAGCACAGACAGTTGACGTCACACACAGCACATACAGTTGACGTCACACAGCACAGATAGTACACGTCACACAGCACAGACAGTTGACGTCACACACAGCACAGACAGTTGACGTCACACAGCACAGATAGTACACGTCACACACAGCACAGACAGTTGACGTCACACACAGCACAGACAGTTGACGTCACACACAGCACAGACAGTTGACGTCACACAGCACAGACAGTTGACGTCACACACAGCACAGACAGTTGACGTCACACAGCACAGACAGTTGACGTCACACACAGCACAAGCAGTACACGTCACACACAGCACAGACAGTTCACGTCACACAGCACAGACAGTTGACGTCACACACAGCACAGATAGTACACGTCACACACAGCACAAACAGTTGACGTCACACACAGCACAGACAGTACAAGTCACACACAGCACAGACAGTTGACGTCACACACAGCACAAACAGTTGACGTCACACACAGCACAAACAGTACACTTACTCATCATATCGCTGATAAAACACACAACACACATAGTACACATTGCATAAATACAGCAAGCACATCGCAGCATAGCACACAGAGAAAGCACTGCACACAAGCGACGCACATAGTACACATGGCACCAAACAATGCATCAGGGTAATCATCATACTGCTACTGATGATGGTCGTGCTGCTACAACTGTTGCTGCTGCTGCTGATGATGGTGATAGTGTTAGTAGTCATGATGGCGGTGGTATTGAAGGTATCGATGGTGATTGTGCTGATGGTGGTTGTAATGATGATGGTTCTGTTGATTGTAATCATGGTGATGGTAATGATGATGATTGTAAGGCTTTACTCATGATGATGATTGTGATGGTTGGAGCCAGGGTAATGGTGGTGATGATGTTGTAGATAGGATAATGATGATGGTTGCGGCTGTAGTCACGATGATGGTAAGGATGATGATGATACGCGTCTTGTAACACGTGCGTGTAACGCTTGTCTTAAAGCAATAACCATTCACCCAGACCCCGCCTCCCAATCGCGAGGCGAACCACTATAGCTACTTAAAGACGTCATGACCACGTGTCATCTTCCACAACCACGACGATCATCCACAACCACGACAATCATCTACAACCACGAGGGATCATCCACAACCACGTGTCATCATCCACAAGCACGTGTCATCATCCACAACCACGTGTCATCATCCACAACCACGAGTCATCATCCACAACCACGAGTCATCATCCACAACCACGTGTCATCATCCACAACCACGTGTCATCATCTACAACCACGACGATCATCCACAGCCACGTGTCATCATCCACAACCACGTGTCATCATCCACGTGTCATCATCCACAACCACGTGTCATCATCCACAACCACGTGTCATCATCCACAACAACGTGTCATCATCCACAACCACGTGTCATCATCCACAACCACGTGTCATCATCCACAACCACGAGTTATCATCCACAACCACGAGTCATCATCCACAACCACGAGTCATCATCCACAACCACGTGTCATCACCCACAACCACGTGTCATCACCCACAACCACGTGTCATCACCCACAACCACGTGTCATCACCCACAACCACGTGTCATCATCCACAACCACGAGTCATCATCCACAACCACGAGTCATCATCCACAACCACGAGTCATCATCCACAACCACGTGTCATCACCCACAACCACGTGTCATCACCCACAACCACGTGTCATCATCCACAACCACGTGTCATCATCCACAACCACGTGTCATCACCCACAACCACGTGTCATCACCCACAACCACGTGTCATCACCCACAACCACGTGTCATCACCCACAACCACGTGTCATCATCCACAACCACGAGTCATCATCCACAACCACGTGTCATCACCCACAACCACGTGTCATCACCCACAACCACGTGTCATCACCCACAACCACGTGTCATCATCCACAACCACGTGTCATTATCCACAACCACGTGTCATCATCCACAACCACGTGTCATCATCCACAACCACGACAATCATCCACAACCACAACGATCATCCACAACCACGAGTCATCATCCACAACTACGTGCGATCATCCACAACCACGAGTGATCACCCCCCCCCCCCGTGATTTCTCCTCGTCACGCACGGCGCGCGGTGTGCTGATCGCTGTGACGAGCATCTGGGTCGCGCCGGGTGAATAAAGACGAAAAGGAACTCCGCGCCTGTGGGTGAGCGATGGGGGCGGGGATGGCCACGTCACGATTCCGCGTCGATTCGTCGATTAAAATCGATGCGTGGCACGACCGTGCGGGAAGGAACCGATTTTTTTTCGATTTTGTCTTTCCAGACACAATTGGTGGAAGGGAAAGTAGGCAAAGCGAGACGAACAACAGTTCAAGGTGATGAGGCAGTGCGGGTGACAGTGCACCCGGGACTAACAGGACTGGTGACAGCCGACGACAAGGACAGCGGTTACAGACAGGGCCCGGACGCAGGTCCATGAGTTGGTCTCGCGTCATCGCAGTGCCCGCTGGTCCCCGTGCCCGCTGGTCCCCGTGCCCGCTTCGTCTGCGGGCGAGTCGTAAGCACGAGGATCGCACGCGCGGTTCCGTGCGTGCGCCCGGAGCACGAGCGTCGAATGGTTCCACGGACTCCTGTTCCAGACACCCCCTTCCCGCTCCCCTCCGACCATCGCTACTCACCACCACCACCACCATCATCATCATCCCTCCTACATCTCCACGTCCCTCCTCCTCAACAGTCCTCCTGACTCATTCCTTGTCCTCCCCATTCATCTTCACCGTCATTCCTCCTCCTTCCTAACTCTTCATCCGTCCTTCCCTCGTCCACCACCTCCTCCCTTCGACAGGTGGACCTCTTCCTTCTCGGGGGCTGCGTCTATCAGCGATGCCGGCGGACATCGCGATGTTCTTGTTCTGTGTAACTGCACCCGGGGCGGCGCGATCAGGGATGGACGCGCCGAGAAGCATCAACCCCGGCAGCATCAACTCCAGCAGCCCACGTGCGGTTCAATCCAGAACTGGGGCGAGCGGCCACGGACGATCCAGGGACTCCTGGATGGTCTCACTGGGGACCACCAGCACCTCCCGCGCAGCCTCGCACTGAGCGTGGCGAGCGGTGTCCGTGGGGGATCTGGAAAGGGCTTCATTAGTTACTGAACCCCATCCCCTTGATAGCGGGGGTTTGTTGCGGGGCGGGCAGTGGACGGGACTGGGTCTCCATGGGAGTCCCTGGTGACTGAGACCACCGGCTCACGACATTTGAGATCCCGGCTTCATCACGGGCAGCTGCCACCCGGCTTTGACCCGGCAGGATCTCATCGGTGCAGACTGGGCGTCTCTGATCGACGAACCGCCGCGGGCCCTGGGAGTCTGTAGAACGCGGATGAGTGGCGGAGCTGGGCCCAGACTTCCCTGGGGGGGGGGGGGGGGGGGGGAGCTACAGACAGAGGACACGTGGCAGCAGCCCCTGATGCATAATTCATCTCCGCCTCCTTTGTCTCTCCCCGTGCGCGCGGCGCGGGACAACGACGCTCGCCGACACGGAGCGCAAACGCCGCGGGGTCCCCGCGAGCCCCAGACAGCGGTGGGCGCGGGGAGGAGCGAGAGGGGGCAGCCAAGAACGCGCGGCGAGGGGGGTCGACCCCGAATCCACCCGTCTCGCCACGGGTACGAACACGAACCTCACGCAGCCAGCCCACCAGACACTCGCGCCGGTCATTACTTTTAGTCGACTTTATGCGGCTCAGAGAGGCGACCGGGCACACCACGTTCAGCATGCCTATCGCGGTGGCCATTAGCGAGCCACGTGCCGCCTACTCCGGTCTCACAGCGACTCGGAAAACATTCGAAAATGTAAAATGAGAAATCCAGCCCCACCCGTCGCCGACGAATGGCGAGGGCAGTGCCACAGGCGGTCACCAGCAACAGTGCCAGCCCTGCCCACCGTGCACCGAGCCTGGCACGAGCGCTGCCGTGAATGGCGGTGGCCGCCGTTGTGTTTGTGTCACCCGGCCCCG